AAATTGATTAATTGCCGTAATAATTTTGTTCTGAGTAACTTTCAATTCATTGATTGATTTAATAATTCTGTCCAGTTTATCAGAAGAGTTTGTAAATTCGGTGTCTTCCATAGTAAAATAAACCGGAAGTATACAGTTTAAAAGAAAAACGAGATTATTTATAATAAATATTTAATATTATTTGATATTACAATTAAAGCGAGAGTAATAAGATAAGACACAACCTTCACCTTCAAGTGTTGAAACTGTACTTGTTGTGATGCTATTATTAGGGTTGCCATCAGTGTCGGTGCTAAAGTTTTCGAGGTCCTGGGCAAAATAAATGTTGGGTCTTATAATTTCAATTAATAAAATATTTTAAATTCAGTTAAATCAGAACCGCGGGGCCTTAATTATAATTTAAGGAGCGGGGCCCTGGGCAACTGCCTCTATTGCCCACCCCCTCGCGCCGTCTATGGTTGCCATACGTCCTAGTTTTACCGGAACACTACCAGTTTTTAACCAAGTATTTTGGTGTCCCGAGAAAGTATTTCGGGATAGCTATTTGTCCAGGTTTCAAAATTTTACTCGATAAAATATCAAGAAAATTGAAAACAAAAGAAAGGATCGATTTCTCGCGGTAGAAATTGAAAATCTCGTAACAAAACTTGAGGACGAGGAATTATCAATAAAACTAAGTTTGAAAGTTAATGTGATGAATTTTATGTACTTTGTTACAACTATTTAAAAAAATGGAACAATTCAAATCAACATGTAACTAATTTAAAATCAATGTTATGGATAACATTAGTCCCAAAGACAATAGTAAATTGGGAAAATGTCAAAAAATCAGTAATCTTAATTTTGATGAATAAATATTTTTCGAACAATTCAAAATGTTTGAAAAAATTAATCAACAAAAAGACGAGTGGCATTGTCAAAATATAGAAAATAAATGGATATATATTTTCAAAATAATCACTAATAACAATCATACATTTTCTGAGCTATTAAAAGTTGTTGAATTTATTTTTGTTTTATCGGGTTCAAATGCACTGTTGAACAGCACATGGACAAATTCAAGATAATAACTAGATATAAAAACGTGCTTCAATCACAGATATCTATATTATACTAGATGACGAACTTCCAATAACATTTGAAGCACGCATTGATTATGTTATCATTTTTCCGCTATGTTTTGGGTTGGCAAAATATTGTATCAGCACTATTCCCCACACATCACAATATTAATTATACACTATTTAGTAACTAATATTTATTAAATATGCCTGTTTCTTGTGTTGCATACGGTTGTTCAAATCGCTTTAAAAGTAATTTCTCAATTCACTTTTTTCGGTACGTATGAAGTATAGATAATATGATTTAAAAACACCTCAACATTTACATTTTTAATTGCAACGTATATTCTGTACATTCTCTGTATCTGTATATTCTCAATTAGCTGAAACATTCCAGCCTCATTCGTGCACCGATTCCGAAAACGACACAATTATTGAAATTCAACAATTTCTATCAGCTTCGCTACCTATGTCGCTACCTGCAAAACCCATCTTTCCTGGTGAAATTTAGTATATAATTCAAAAATTACTTCTCGGCAAGGCACCTGGAAATGACCTCATTACAAACAAAATTTTGAAAAATCTGTCTCTAAAAACTTTATCATTGCTCACCCACAAATATAATTCTTTGCTAAGATTTTTCCACTTCTCTGAAATCTGGAAATTTGCAGTCATTATACTTGTACACAAACCAAATAAACCTAAACACTTATCTTCGTCATACCGTCCCATAAGTTTACTTCCAGTCCTTGTTAAACTTTTCGAAAAGGCCCTCCTGAAAAGATTACGTCCCATCCTTCAAAACAACCATATCATACCGAATAATCAGTTTGGTTTTCGAAACAGGCGCTCAACAATCCATCAAGTTCATCGTCTTACTGATGAAATCTCAACTGCTCTCAAAAATAAAGAATATTGTTCCGGACTTTTTTTAGATATTGCTCAAGCATTCTATAAAGTCTAGCACGATGGCTTACTATACAAATTAAAACTTTTCATGCCAGCTCCCTACTATCTTATTGTCAAACCTTACCTACAAAATCGTTCGTTTGTCGTACGACAGGGGAACGATATTTCATCTACCCACCCAATATATGCTAGAGTTCCACAGGGTAGTGATCTATCCCCTGATCTATATAATGTATTCATAGCAGACATCCCTCAATCTAGTAACACCCTTCTAGCAACATACGCTGATGACATAGCTATTCTTTCCTCCAGTCCAAATCCTATCTTAGCTTCAACTGAACTCCAGGATCATGCTAATAAAATTGAAAAATGGGCCAAAAAATGGAAAGTAAAAATTAATACGGAAAAGTCTGTACAAGTTACTTTCACGTTAAAACAATCTCCCTGTGAGTACCCTCAATTAATTATGAACAACGCCCCCATCCCTGTCCAAACCAAAATCAAGTACTTAGGCATAACGCTTGTTAAAAAACTAACTTCGGGCCCCCACCAAAAAGAAAATCATCGAACAACAGACTTCACCTCCTCCGACCACTCCTAAACTCCAAAACAAACTTATTATATATAAGTCAATCATAAGACCAGTCTGGTCTTATGGAATAGCAATCTTGGGTCCAGCAAATCCCTCGAACATCAGGCCAATTCAAGCTTTTCAATCAATTGAGCTAAGGTTAGTAACCAAACTTGGAAAAAAAACCCTACTACAGTATTTCAGTACATTAACATTTATTTTATATATTTTAATTAATATATATATAATAGTTAAAACTAAATATAGTAAGTATAGTGATTTGGTTTTGTGTATTTAAATAAGTCATTTTATTTATTGTATACTCATTGATTACGAGTATAATATAATCAGTATATATAATATACATTATATAAATAATCAATAGTGCAATTTTAAATTAATATTCTCAATTCTGTAATGAAATTTAATTTTGATTAAACGTAATGAAAAATGTTTGATTTAATAATTAAGTGTGTTCAACTATTTTATATAGTGTAAAGTAATATTGTTTTGCCAACCGAAAACATGGCGGACGTATGATATTCTTGCGTCCCCGGGCTTCACTTCTCTCAATGGAAAACATCGGTAGTTCGTTATCTAGTATAATATAGATATCTGTGGCTTCAATAATACATATTATGAAGAATTCTACGACCAGTTTGGGAAACAAGTCTTTATTAAAACAAGTTTATGGATAAGTCAAATAAGTAGTAAAATCAATAGAAGAAACTCTGGACCTCAAAAGATCCGAAGACTAAGAATATGAATTATTATAGTTATTTTATTGCTTCTATACATAATTCATAAAAATATATATTATTTTTTTTCTTTTATATATATATATATATATATTATAATATCATATTTGTATATTTATCCATTCAAAAAGTAGGGAAAATATAATCTAGTAACCCTAGCTACTGATTGCTTCTACTTGTTAGGATTCGGCGTGTATACTAACATATGCAGGGAGGGCCATGAGCAGACTACCGCCATCCTCCCTAATATATTAATTATATGCTTGTTAAACATAAAAATGATTAAAAAGAAAATATGTGTAGTAAAATTGAATTTATTGAGTCTCAAATATTTTTTATAGTATTTATAAAATCACTTAAAACTAAGTTATTTTTATAAAACCTTTCTTATAAAAAGAAAATTATTAGAACAAAATTTAATACTCAAACGGACGTGAATTTTTTTTTTTTTAATTGAGCTCAATTTTTTCTTTAAATTTTTTACTTATAAATATGAATGAAAACATAGTATTACAATTTTCACAGCCAAACCAAAATTATTTTATTGATATTTTCGAAAAGAAAGCTAAAAAAATATCAAATTTTCAATCATATATAAATGATAATATAATTTTATAGGAGGGAGAGTTTAAAAAAATTTTAAATGTTGATTATTAATGCATGCTTAATTTCTCATATAATATATATATTTAAATATTTTATTTGAAAATCCCAAGGGAAACTGAAATAACTATTATATTTATAGGTCAGGTAATTTTTTTATAACATTTTTTCTAAACATTTTACATTTCGTGGGGGTGGTTAAATACCTACCCCTCTGCGTTCGCTTCCTCTAATTAAAATTATAATAGTTTACCAGCTGTAAAATAATAATAATAATAATAAAGGATTATGACTATAATTTATTTATTATTATTCAAGTTTTTACAATTTTTGCAAAAGTATATATCTTAAAAAATAATATTTACAATTGATTAATTAAAGTACTAATAATAACTAGAAAAAATAATAATTATTAAGACTTAATCTAAATGTAGCAAAAAGATGATTTAATATTGTCAGTTTTTATTCAAAATTAGAAACTATACAGTAATAAAAACTAGATAGATGAAAACTATTTAAGAAATAAATAATAAAAGTATTTTAATGAAACAATCATTATCAAAAATAATTATAATAATAATAGCTTAAAATATTGAAAAATAAATCACTTGTGCCTTTTTTTAATTTATATATTTAATGGTAAAAACAACAATGTAAGTTATTATTATTAAAAAGCTTACCATGTTCGTTAAAATTTATAATTTTTTATTAACAAATAATATTTTAAAATGTATAGTTTTCAAATAACAGGTTATACTTTAAAATGTATATATTTTCATATTCTGAAATAATAATTTATAAATTTGACTTCAATGAGTAACATATTATAATATCCTTTATTAATAATTATTCAAATGTTATATAATAGTTGTATACATTTAGGTACATTAATACATATACATTTTTTCCTATTAAAATAATTTTTAATATTATTTAATAATTTTTACTTAAATAATGCTAGTAAAATAATCTGATGAAAACATAAATTTAATTTTTATCTTTATCTTTATTTTTTTAAATATTAAATATTTTGATGGTTTAGATTTATTATAACTTTTCAAAAAACTATATTATCAACATCAATAATTGAATTTTATAATCATTGGGAAAAACATAAAAACTATGAATAAAGCAATTTTGTAACTATTACTGAGTTAAAAATATGAATATTTATTATAACAATCACAGTAAATAGAAAATAAAAATAATTTTACCAATTTTAATTTTTACATAGCATCAAAATGAAATTTATGTGCTTCCATACGTTTTTCTATACGATCTTCTTGACGTTCTTTAAAATATAGAACTCCTATTATAAACAAGATAAGCAAACATGTTCCTGCAAGAGCAGCAGCACTTTGTAAAATTAAACGGCTAGGTGTAACAAACAGCTTAGCATTCCATCTACTTGGTTCATCTATTGGATTTGGAATAACTACCATTTGGGAATTCGGAATGATTTGCGTCCAAGAACGAGTTTCATTTAAAACCGACACAATAAGTTCATCAACAAAGTTAGGAGTGCGGCCAAGTCCAAATATAGTATAAGGCAAATAAAGTGAATAGTGAGCAGACTGAGGTAACTGTGTAGCTACACCCTGACGAGGATCACCATCTTGAGTTGTTGTAAGATAACTAACTTTTGGTCCTGGTAAGTTAGTACCAAATGTACGAGATTTTTTTCCTAAATGACTGGGTGATGCTTCATATTTGCTGTTTGTCAAACCAGTAACAACCATAACCTATAATAAAAAAAGATTTTCTATAAAAAATAATAAATAATTTAAATCTATTTACTTTCAAAAAATTTGCATCGTAGTCCAAACTGTTCTTGAAAGCAGACATATTATATTCTCCATCACCTCCACTAACCAACAAAACATCTAATATACCATTTTGAAAGAAATCATAAAATGCCCCCATGATATTGTATTTGTTTCCATTCATGGGCTGAAGTAAATCCCATCGAACAATAAATGTTCTGTCAAACCCTTCACAGCCTGTAGAGCAAGCAACATTTTCCATCAAGAGTACTTTAGTTTTCTGTGAATTTCCTCCAGGACATAATGTGCCTAATAAATCTGGGTAACCATCCATGTTGAAATCACCAGGTCTCAAAGTAATTGTTTCTAAATATGGCTTATTAGGTTTTGGCGGAACAAATCCCCAAACATTGTTACCATAATGAAAGTTAATTCCTAAATTATACCAGCGGGTTGAATCATAAAAATAAATAGTGCTGTTAGTACATTTTGCATCAAAACAAACTGGTACAATATGATCCATGCGTCCTTTAAGTTGTAAATCCATAAAAGCAGTTTGACCAATATTCCCAACAGTCAAATCATCAGGAAATGGGATTGTTTCATTAAAAACAAATGCATCAACTGTAGAATCAGAGAGCCATACTTCATACCCGTCTTTAGTTGTCAAATATAAATCAGGTGCAACATCTGAAAAAATAATTATATCCTATTAAATTATTTTCTACTCAAAATTATTTAAGAAAAAAATAATATTCAGTTAATCTCATAGAACATTTTCATAAAATAATAAAGAATTAAAATTAATTTCTAAAAACTCAGTGATAGGGGATACTCTCATATAAATTATCCAACAAATAAATTTAAAATACCAAGATATTAATTCATACAGTGGTTGACTTGAATTTTTTTTAATTTTAAACAAGGAAAAAGTTTGTTGGTAACCAAGACTTTTTTCTTAATAGCTTAATAATGTAAAAAAAAATTGAACTCTAACATTTATATTACACATTTAGTACTTATTATAATTAATAAGTATAAATATTGTTTAAAATAAGAATTTCATAAAATGACTAACCTCCTCCTATATCTACAAATCCATGCGATTGAGGAATTCTTATTGCTGATTGATTTCTTAACATTGGCATTTCTGTAAAGTTTCCAGTTGAATTAAACAACCAAAACATTCTTTGTGTTATATTTGGTGCTACTCTTTTGACACCGAATAAATCCACAATCATATTGTTATCATAGTTTATCACCAAAGGTTGATCAACAATAGTAAAAAGTGGTTTATTTTCATCTGAACATTTTAAGTCACTTAAATCACCCCATAATATATGTACATCCAAATCATTATTTGGAGTTTCACTTTCTCCAAACCATGTGGAAATTCCTTTTTTTGGTTTGGTTATATTACTGACAGTAACTAATAAATCCATCAGAGCATCACCATTGAAGTCACCAGGTACAACTGATGTAATGATATGGTTATTAAATTTACATTTGGTTTTTGCTCCGGGCTTTAAAAAAGGTTCAGCATTGGAACCAAACATAATTTCAACTGATTGACTATTGTCTTTTAGAATAAACATATCGGTAAGTTCATCGGAATCAAAATCACCAAATGCAACAGGTTGACCCTGAACATTGTTTCTAAAGACAAGATAACTGATGTCAACACAACCACATATCTGACTTAAAGTCAGCAGTAAAAGAATCTGAAAAATAAGGTTACATTTTAATTAAATTTAATTAATGAGGATAGAAATATTAAAAACCTTGATTGTGAGACAGGATGACCTTAAAGGCCCAATAAACCCAAGAAAGAAGAAAATTTAAAAACAATAGTAAATCATAACTATTAATGAACTTAAAATAATATTAAAATATTTTATTTATTTTTATATTGATAATACTTAAAATATTTAATAATTTTACATAAATAAATTATACATATTCTAAAAGTGTGTATTATCAAAACAATCATAGAATTTGCATTAGTTTCAAGATGTTAACAACCAAAAATAAATTAATACTTATGAATAGTCAAGATTTTTTAAGAATTAAACTAAAAATGTTGACATTTTTTGCTGATCAGATAAATATTATAATATCATTATAAGGTTTATGTCAGTCAAATATAGTTAATTCATTATTAATATACATCCTATTAATGGGAAAAATAATATCATTTTAACCCTAAATATTATTAAAACTGATAAATAAGATTTAATTTTCATTATTTGTTTACAATGTGTACACATAAACAGTTCAAATATTCAACAAAAATAATTATAAAAAAAGCTAAAACTCCACTGGTAAAATTGGTAACTTTTAATATAAAGTTGAATTATAAATATTTTTCAGTACAAAATCATTGTAAAAAAGAAAATTAAAATATGATTGTATCAACACACATTGGTGAATGGTGATAAATAATGAAATTATGGTAGTTAAAACAGCTCAAATTAATTATATTTTATAAACAATTCACATTGAAATTGAAGTTATTATAGTGAATGTTACATATTAAAAGAATAATTTGTAAGTAAAGCTAATATATTTCAAAACTTTGGTTATGTTCTTTAGGCATGAAGTATATTTTAATTGTTTTAATTAAATCAATTTCTTTGTCACAAAGATAATTATAAAAGCACATACTATATAATTATTTTAACACAGGCATGGTTAAAGGTTTAGATGTATTTATACGTATAAATTACAATACTTACACTAGAAGTAGATATCATTTTGGGGTTTGCAAATAATTTACTACCAACTATAGTTTCTCTTGTTTATCATAAAACATAGCATAAATAATATTATATTGGATAGATTACATAGTAATCATGTTTTTGACTTCAATCCTGTACACAAAATATCGAACAAATTAATTAAAAATTACTTATGGAAACGTAATACAAAAATTACATTTCCTTGGAGTTTCTTAATTTTATGAAATGAATAATTGTATAAAAATTCTACTTACTGAAGAAATATTATGATAACACATTTCAACAGAAGGAATGAAAAAAGTTTATGCGTTTAATCAATAATCATATTTCAATATCAGTGTTCTTATCAACTTGCGCAAAAAGCACAGTGTTAACGAAGTAACAATCATCGTTATTGATGTTACGAAAATTGTCACCCTCATCACCCAGACACTTTATTGTGCGGACATATTAACAATATACGTATTAAACAAACAGTGCTCAAATTAGAAAAAATTAGAGGAGCTCAGTCCAACGATTTGAAAACTGCGTTCCACGTGTGCAATTATTTGACACAAACCGTGGAGGACTTCGTCCCTCTTCCCTCCTCCACCAACCTTAAATATGTTTTGAATACCACTTTTCAACTAAACAAATATTTAAATTCCAAATATAATATATTTTGATAGAAATACCAACATCCTATATGTTACAATAGAAAATAAAAATAAAATAATAATTACTATAGGTAATTGTAGGCGACTAGGCAGTCTCATAAATCGAATGATATAATCATATATTTGGTTTTTGTTTTTACCTATTTTTCCTCTTTAGTGCAGGCCACGGCCTTAGAAGATTAGTCTAAGGTCGTGGTGAGGGCATTTATTTTTTCCGAAATGACGATATCGTCGTTCGCCAATATTAATAATAAACCGTACAATGTATTAAGTATAATACACCAAATTCACAGACATTACTATTTATATTTTTCTAGAAATAACGACGTTGTCCCTTATTATAACCAACATAAAAATAATTTTGTATAAATCGTAAAATTAATTTTCCAACTGACGTAAATTGAAATTCACATATAAATTATTTTGGACATTAATTAGGATGAACGTGGCGTCCCCCCGTTCCGGTGAAAAAATATAGTTTGGGTACACAAAAAAAAAAAAAATAGTAGAGGAGCTCCGTCCCCCTGCGCACCACCCTCGCCAAATTAAGCACTGCCAACAAATATAGTGTTGCCGTACGTCCCGGTCTTTCCGGAACGCTACCGGTTTTTACCAAGTGTCCCGGTGTCCGAGAAAGTATTTCGGGACAGCGATTTGTCCAGGTTTCAAAATTTTACTCGATAAAATATTAAGAAAATTGAAAACAAAAGAAAGGATCGATTTCTCGCGGTAGAAATTGAAAATCTCGCAACAAAACTTGAAGACGAGGAATTATCAATAAAAATAATTTTGAAAGTTAATGTGATGAATTTTATGTACTTTGTTACGACTATTTAAAAAAATGGAACAATTCAAATCAACATGTAACTAATTTAAAATCATAGTTATGGATAACATTAGTCCCAAAGACAATAGTCAATTGGGAAAATGTCAAAAAATCAGTGATCTTTATAAAAGCTATAATGTCAAACAATCTTAATTTTGATGAATAAATGTTTTTCGAGCAATTCAAAATGTATGAAAAAATTAATCAATAAAATGACGAGTGGCATTGTCGAAAAATAGAAAATAAATGGATATATATTTTCAAAATATTTACTGATAAGAATCATGCATTTTCTGAGCTATTAAAAGTTGTTGAATTTATTTTTGTTTTGTCGGGTTCAAATACACTGATGAACAGCACATGGACAAATTCAAGATAATAACTAGATATAAAAACGGTATATTATAAAAACGTGCTTCAATAATTAGTGTTTGAAAATTTCATAAAATTTAAAAAAATGAAATATTTCATGAAATATTTCAAATGTCTGAAATATTTCAGTATTTTAATAAATTTTGTTTTTTTTTTAAATAAGTTTTATTTTTATGTATGTAATTGTCATAATTTACTTTTATAATTTTATACTACTGAAACCAATCACTAATTACATACTCATTAGTGATGGTTTTTTTTGGTATTATACATTCAAAATAGTATTCAACATTTTTAAATTGATAAAAAAACGTACTATGTCAATAAATGTTCGTACACTAATAATAATTATAAAAATTAAAAGATTATATGATAAATATTAAATGTCTATAGGTCTATATTGTCGTCAGACGTCTATTCACCATAATAATAATAATTTTATGATAATAAACCATGCGTATTTTTCTAGTTAGAAACTATATATAAGTTATAAGTTTATAACGTTAAGATTATGATTGCGATAATAAATTATTGACTGTCAACTGTGTAATAAATATTATACTTATATATTTAGTCACAATTCACAATAATAGAACCATCCTTGCATCGTCGTCGACGATAAGCCATTCCTGGGGGAAAAACCAATTTTTGCTATAAATAGCCGAAAACAAGACCCTAATATAGTATAAATAGTATAATATGTCAGCCACGACACTCATTGCATTAATATTGTTAATATCAATGATTATACCAAGAACTCATGGATTGTACTATTAATAATTGATAAAAAACAATCATTATAATTTGTTTTCAAAAAAAAAATACAATGTTTCACGTTTTTGTGAAATATTTCATACTTCAAACACTATCAATAATACATATTGTGAAGAATTATACGACCAAAGTTTGGGAAACAAGTCTTTATTTAAACAAGTTTATGGATCAGTCAAATATGTAGTAAAATAACAGAAGAATCTCTGGACCCCAAAAGATCCAAAGACTAAGAATATGAATTATGATTATTATTATTATTATTATTATTATTATTATTATTATTATATTGCTTCTATACATAATTCATAAAAAAAAAAATATATTTATATGTATTTTTTTCTTTCATATGGCGATATATAAATATTTATAATATTATATATGTATAATATTTATCCATTTAAAAAGTCCCGGATTCTAAAAGATATAATCTGATAACCCTACACAAATAATAACGATGAACTACTTATTTAATAATAAATTATTACAAAAACAATCAAATCAAATTTATAATAGTATCATAAACAAAGACCGGCTTTATTTGTTTTTAAATATCATTACTTTGTCTATGCAGTTGTATGAGAGTAAAAAATGTGGACGATTCATTTAATTTTGAGTTTATAGAAAAAAGTTTCTTTTGCGTATTTGAGAATATATCATGGGTTAGAGTATTTTAGAATATTTGAGTTTTGTTTCATAGTTGGAGATTGTACAAACTGTTATCCGCAAACTAACCAATATACCTGGTGAAACGGGTAACATAATAAAAATACTAAAGTGTCTCAATTATGTTAAAAAAATAAAGGTTACCAAATGTTAGTAAAGGTTGGGAATATTTTATATGGAAACAATGAAAATCTCCCAGAAAATTTTACACCTAATGTAGTTGTTGACATGAAGTTTGCACCTCTAATATCTGTTGATGTTGAATGTTCATTTAGTTTCTATAGACAAATTTTAAGAGATAGAAAAACTAACATAGGTACAGTTAATATATAAAATATATTATTGTTAATTCATATAACAAAATTTAAATAGTATTTCAAGTTTATTTTTTATTCTTCAGAAAATAAATATTTACCATTGTATGCACCAAAGAAATATTGTTTTTTTTTATACATACATAATACCTATATTGTTATTTTATATCTTGTATTAAATTATTATTATTCAAGAATTACTTTTTGTTAACCAATTTTTTTTTTGTTTTATTTTATTTTAATATATATGATTATTTGTTATTTTTTAATATTGTGACAATAGTTTTAATAAAACATTTAATTAAAATAAGTATACTAAAGACCAGGGATCGCCAGCCAATCGATCGATGTAAAATTTAATTTTACTACTATTTGTTGATCGCGTAAAATAATCAGATTAATTGGATAATGGGAATATTAGATTTAAAGATTAAAGACCTAAATTTTCCTAGATGTCAATCACTAGGGACTTAAATGTCAAATGTATCTCACTTGTTTGAAAACGTTGGCGACCCCTGCTATAGATTATATTGTAATAGTTTTATTATATTCATACTCTTACTGAAGTACAATAGTATTCTATTATAATATGCAACTATATACGTATATACCTCATGATTAAAAGAATTTTGTAAAAAAAAAAAATTTTAAAAATGCATATTAAACCATATATTGATGTTTGTTGATTATTTTTGAACAATTTCGAATATTTTTACATATTTTTAAGATTTTTAAGATATTTAAGAGAATATAAATCCGGTCTTTAATCATAAGTAATATCATAATATTATATTTGTTGTATAAAAATACAATTCATTTGCTGTATAAATGTAATTAATTAAATAATGAATACTTAACATAAATAGTAATGTCAAGTAATTAAAATCAAATGCCTGGAATTTTGCTTAATTGTATTTGCATTAAATTATCAATAACATTTTGAAAATAGAGTTTTCTGAAAATATAACTCAGAGTTCATAATCGCTAATTAATTGAGCCTCTTTCAGTCCATAGAAGTTTGCATTCTATTTTTTATTTGTTATAAATTAGAAAACTAACTTTCACTACTGTTGCTTGTAAATTACAAGGTTGTTTACAAATTGTGTACACATTTATTTACAAATTACATGCAAATTACATTACAGGCACCGACTCCATGGGAGCAAAGGGGGTGATCGCCCCCGAGCTTTGATTTAATGGGGGCAAAAGCAGGGGTGGAACTATGGAGCGGAAGACGGGGATTCATCCCCAGGCGTAAAATTGTAGAGGATGTAATTTTTATAATCATAACAACTAATTTTATATTTTTAACTGTATTAAATACTGTCATTAGGTTAAAACTCAATAATTATGATTGTGTATTAATTATTAGAAAAACATTCTAGATAAGAGTATTTGATTATTGGTCTTGATAGGGCATAATTTTAAACATTGGTACTTCTGATATTAAAACAAAAAGTTCTAAAAAACTTATTATAAGTTATCGTATATCTATCTATAAATTCTGAGATTGATTCAAAATAATTAGTTTTATAATCCAAATAACTTTAAATCATATTATTTCCGGTAAAGGAAAATATTTTATAATATTATAAACATATTTGTTAAAAAAATATAAAATGAAATAGGATTATTTTTATGCCAGTACTTGTTTGAAGGATGTATTTACTGGTGTGTCCCCCTTTGGCGAACTGTACCTCCAACAAAACCATGCTCGAATAAAAAAAAGTCGTGCGGTTTGTATTCAGTACTGGTAGTATCAGTATAGTAATATATATTTTTATGGTTTTTAAACGACAATGGTTTTATTTTTAAGTGTTAGTTAAAAATTTTTCCTATTATTGTAGCTTAAAAATAAATATTTTTTCATATTTAAAAAAAAATAAGTCTCACAATTTAAAAATATATTATATTTCCTAAACACGCCTATGGTTGTACTTCAATATATATATATACAGTTTTATAAACAATATGTATAGTAGATTTTTATGAATATAAAAAAATAATATTAACACAAAAACGCAAAAAAAATCGCCTCTCGATTGTAGCAATAATTTTATAACCATAAATAGATAATATTATTATAGCTAATTAGTTGGTCTATCAGACATTGTCCTATCTTGGCCATGAATGTTCAATTGGATGAGGAATAAATAAGTAGATAACAAGTAAATTTCAAAAATTAAGATAAAATGTCATGATAACAAAATAATGTATTTCATTAATTTAAATTTAAAATTATAAGAGTAGGTATTAGATAAAATATCTAATAATTCTATAATATTTTTAAATTAAAAATACAAAAGAGCATATTTTGAAGTCTTGTCCTGGGTGTAATATTTGGTTGCTATGGTACTTATAGTAATATGAATGTTTTTATTTAATTTCTCATGACTGATAATATTAATTTTTAGATATTAAAATATCAATAAATAAAAAGGAATCTCAACTTTGCACTCTATAGTGAGTACTGTGTATAAATATTAGAACTTAGAGGTCCAAATATATTTAAATAGACATAAAAAAAAATATAATTTTTCTAAATTGCTTTCTAGAAGTCTTTTCTTCTACAAGTTAAGAAGTTGATCAGGTTAGGCTATGTTGCTATAAGCCAATCTGATATAAACCATGAGTTCTAGACAGTGGCAATGGTATCATTAATTATATATAGCAGGGGTGGCCAAATTGCGTCTCGCGAGCCGCATGCGGCCCTCGTCATAGTCGTATGCGGCTCGCGGTCTTATTTACAAAAACCAAAATATTTAAATTTTTTGTATACATTTATAAAAAAAAATTTTATTGCATAAATACGAGGCTATAGTGTACAGATTAATAAACAAAAAAAAAATAATTATTTATATGAATAATAAATTAAAAAATTAAACATCAAGTTAAATTTGTTTGCGTGGTATTTTTTTCATGTCCACTTTTTTAGTAAGCTTCTTAAGATCTGGTTGAATTGATGTAAGAGTTGTTCTTAGTAATTCTGTGTGATGATCATTAGTCAAATTTTAACGATATTTTGACTTAATTATTTATATATATATATATGTTTATCAACTGTTAGCTTTCCTAATTACTTTTGTAGTATAGAAGTACCGATTAGATAATTTGACTCTTAATGTAATCTTATTAATACATGTGGCTCGTGTACATAGACATGTTGGCCACCCCTGATATATAGTATATGACTAATTCACTAAAAAATAATTTAACACAATTATTGTATTAAAATATTCTATAGGGAGTAAATTACCACATTTAAAAAATAATATATTTAATAAGTACATTAGTACATATAATAAGTATATTTGCAGCTTAAAAAGTGATAATTTTTTACATTTTTATAATAACAATGATAACTATTATGTATATAAACAAAAACAATGCATATTATACATAACATATTTACATAATATCTTTACAGCCATACTTAAATTAATAATTGTTTTTATTTGTAAAGCACTTTATGTATTAAATAAAGTATATAATACGAATTGTATACACAGTTAATTTTAACTAAGCTAGAGAATAGAAATAATTAATTATAAAAATAAAGAAATAAATAGATTATAGTCAAAATTAGTTTTTTGTGTAGCACATTTAAATTGATGTTATTCTATTTTATACTGGTGTGGTTTTTTCATAAGCTGCTAATAACAAACGAGAAGAACCAACTGATGTATAACTCTCACCACTTGAACGTTGGCTTACTGTACTCATTGGAGTACCAGGTAATGATACCCTCTCCTAAATAATATTTTCAATTATTTAAAATAAATCATTAAAAAATATTTAAAAATAAAGTTTTAAGAATTACCAACAGTATCAAACTATTTACCTGAGATATTGAAAGTTGAGGTTTTTCATTATGATGTGTAACTAACATTCGTGCAGCGCATTCACCATAACATTCGGCATCTTCTGCTCCATGATTTAGAATAACATTAATTTCTTTTTCTATAAAATAAAATGTATTATTATTTATATTAAATACAAAGAAAAAAAAATTTTATTAAATTTTTACTTTCAACAGCAATAGGTTGTGAATTTTCAACTTTCTTTTCAATACTTTTTTCAGACTCTAATAAAGGAGACATTTTTTCTGCTTCACTGTCTTCATCATGAATCTAATAAAATATTTAAAAACAAAAACATTATAATAGAACTCCTAATTTATCCATGTATTTATAAATTCTTAATAAAAATAAATATAATAATAATATTAATATTACAATATCATACAAAAATAATATTTATAAAACTATACCTCATCTTCTGGATTAGCTTTTTCATTTATTATTTTTACTTTGTCCTTACACTTAACTGGATTTTTAGTTTTTACATCATCTTTATTAGATCCTTTGAAAGATTTATCACTACTCGAAGTAGCTGCCTAAAAAAATACAACCATCTTCATTGTACTAAAAAAAAGCTAAATGAATATAAATGTATTACATACATTGGAACTTAAAGAGTTATCACTAGGACTTAATGATTCACCATGAGAATCTAAACTGCAAGATTTTTTTCTTGAAAGCCTGTCTAAACTCATTCTGAAAAACAATTTAATTTATATGATTTATGATAAGTATATGTTTAATATACACAATTTTAAATAAAACATACTTAGACATAGTGAGCCCAACACAATGACTATCTGGTGAGGATTCCAATAAAGGATCACTAGGAACTTTAGTAGCATTACTATAACGTCGAAAATTTGGACCATTAAGAGCTTCAATTAAAGGAACAGTTTCATAACCATATGGAGTACGTAAATCAATCTAAGCATATAAAAAATTAATATAAAAAAAATTATTCTCATATTTTAAGTTAATATATATTACTCTATGATTATTATCTAATGTTTTTTGTAGAGCTTTAATTTGTAAAAGAGCTCGAAATGGCACTCGGCATATTGGACAATTATTTGCTTGGTATCGTAAAGAGTCTGCACATGACTGACACAAACATAAATGACGGCAAGGCAAAATTAATGTGTCTCGCATATCACTCATACAAATAACACATTCAGAACTACCATCTTCTAAATCTTCATCTCCAGAATCCTTCAAATATAAATGTATATAAAAAAAAGTTTAAGAAAATAAGAAATTAATACACAAACTTTAGGTTCTGTTATTTTGTTTTCAATGCCATATATCTCTTGAAGCAAATAGCATAGACCATCAACAAACAACTTTTGTTTTAAAGCTTTTAAAATGTAAGAACCATCAGAATATTGTTCTACTACTGCAATTGTAGTATGCGACTGACGTGTTTCTGGAAAATATAAATATATTACAATTAAATTTGAATGTTTTTAATGAAATATAATATGTTTAACAAAAAGGTATATTTTATTAACCTTCAGAAGTATCATGAGCCACACAATGTATGGCAATTGGAATAACTTCTTTGTTAAATATATATGTTAAATCTTCAGTACTATATATACTGGGATCAAACATGTGTAATGGTTGTATGAATTGTTGATTTGAACCACGTTTATAATGATAAACTTCAGATGTCATAGATGGATCACGGCAATTAAATCTAAACAAAATAAAAAATAAATTGAATCAAAATAAATAATAAAATTAGTAATTAATACTTACGAAACTCCACTAGGTGTAAATTCTTCAGTACAAAAATAATAAATGGTTATTGAACATGGTGCATCACAATCAAAAGTAAATTCTATATTAAATATAGTTTTGCCTTCTTCGGTGCGTACAAAACGCAACGATTCTTTTCTAATATTAACCAAACTTTTTAGAGGTTTAGTTGGTTCTCCAGCCTCAGGTGGTGGGTAAGGGAACTAAATATATTTTAAACAAAAAATATTCAAATAAGATTTTATACAAGCATATTTAAAAATAAATTGATGCATTATTTCAACAAAAAGAATAGTGCTAAATAGAAAATAACAACTTTAAAAATAAAACAAGATAATTATACAATTATGTTTTTATATAACTTACTGTAGTAGGGCATTTACTAAAAAAATTCAAATCCATATTTTCACCGAACAAATATGCTTCTGGTTGTGGTGTATCAAATTTTTCTCCACCCATGATGAAATGAGTGCTGAAATAATTTCCTGCAAAAATAATTAAATGTACACTATGAAGACAACAGAGATAAATTGCTTAAAATTATATTTAAGATTTTCAAAAAATTAAATAATTTAGAAATATGTTAATTAAAATAAATAAAAATAGTATTTTGATTCCATAATAATATTGAATATTTTAATTGACATCAACACCAAAATAAAAAGTATAAATCTATTAAGATTGGTTTAAATTAATTAAGTACATGACATACATATTAAAATGTTTAATTTTTAATTATTATTGTATTTTTAAACAAAATATTTTGATTGCTAATAACAATAAAAATAAATCATAAATTCTAATAAATTTATAAATTTCCAACATACCAGACTTTGGTGGATACTTATAAGCATTATTGGAGTTGTTATCCACTTCTTCTACTCTAGCATTTTGTCGACTAACAAATGCACCCATTTTATTATACAATTGTACGATAGTTTAATATTCTTCAAATTATTTAAACACAAACAATAAATTGATGTAAGTTTTTTTAATCTAAATCATAATATTAAACAAAATTATTACTTTACATACCTGAACTAAATAAAATTATTTTTCACAAAATACTATTATCAATGTTTAGGATATTATCAATCTAGGTCGACGATATATTTAAACGTTAACAACGTCATCTATGGAATAAACAATATTTTTAGACGTCATAACAAACAAAGTCCGAATGTAGCTTCATACAGATTATATTATCTACTTAAATTGTTATGTTTACATTTAACTTATTGACCATAAAATATTAAGTACTAAAATATAAATCATTTAAAACATCGAATATGGAAAATAATATTACAGTCAACGATGTGGATACAGATTTTTTACCTCTAATACATGACATTATCAAAAGGTAAAAGGAGTCTTCAAATGTTCTTCGAAAGTTGTTAACAGGTTAACCGTTCTGTTTATAGTAGTGAAAGAGAAAATCACGAACCTCAAAAGTCAGCTCAAGAAATAACTCAGAAAATTCAAGATCTGCAAAAAAAAATTGACCAAGCACGAAGTCAGGTGAGTTAAAATTATTTGAACTTAAAAATTTAACTCAAATAACAAAATATGTCGACGGAGTTTAAAAAACGTAAAGTTATTCAAAACCGACGTAAACGAGCTGTTTCGGAAAGCGAAAGCAGTGAAGAAGAAAGTGCAGTTGTTACTAATGAAAAACGTACTAAAAAGTTAAGTCCATTTGTACAAAGTACATCTAGTAAAAAACTCAAAGCATCAGCACTTATTAATGATTCTTCTGATAGTGATCATGAAGTTATTGGTGTTTCATATCGTTCCAAAATGGATACAGATATGAGTGGGCCTAAAGATATGGGTGCTACAGCAACCATTGAGATTGATACAGAACTTGATAAAGATGCTCAAGCTATTTATGAACGCTCACTACAAGTGAATAAAGAACTTAAAGGTAAAGAAGATGATAAAGTTTACAGAGGCTTAGCAAATTATACTCAATACTATGAGAAAAAAGATACAGCTCTTGGTAATGCATCTAGTGGAATGGTACGAAAAGGACCTATAAGAGCACCAGCAAATTTACGTTCTACAGTTCGTTGGGATTATCAACCTGATATTTGTAAAGATTACAAGGAAACTGGATTTTGTGGTTTTGGTGATAGTTGCAAATTCTTACATGATCGGTCAGATTATAAATTTGGTTGGCAATTGGAAATGGAATCTAATCAAGAAGGTGATTCAGATGGTGATGATCCATCAAAGTATGAAATCAAAGAAGATGATGATAATTTTTTGCCATTTAAATGCTTGATATGCCGAGGTTCTTATGTCAATCCTGTAATGACTAAGTGCAAACATTATTTCTGTGAAAAGTGTGCTTTAGCTCATTATAAAAAAAGTACAAAATGTTTTGTTTGCGAAAAACAAACAGGAGGATTTTTTGATCCAGCCACGGTTATTATAGAAAAACTTAATGCAGCTAACACAAATAATATGATACATCAATGCACTTCTGATGAAGAATCAGATTAACTATTATTAATTTACTTAAAATTGTTCATTAAATTAATTATTTATTCATGTATTAATTAATATTAAATGATTTTTATTTTTCAATTCTTAACATTTAACGAAAGTTAAAGAATTAGTTAGAATTTTAGATAATATTTCTTATATTTCAACAAACAAGAATATTTTACTATTTTAGATTCGTAAGCTACCTGGAGTTCAATATAACAGTGAACAGCAATTGAAAGCTATGGATGATCTCCGGCAGTCCTTACAAATGAAAAGACAACTATTACTAAAATATAGACACATGTATTCATTTGATGTACCAAAATATTAAGTATGATTTTTGATTATTTCAAAAAATAATATTTGTAAGAAATTGTGTATCTACGTAAAAAAATTAATTTATATAACTAATATACTTGTTCTTTTTTATTTTAAGAAATTAAGTCAATGCAGTGCAAAGTTAGTGCTAAAGAACTTTTGTAGCATTTAGTTATTATTTTTGTTAGGTATCTATTTTATATATTTATACCACAAATTCAATATTGTATTACATTTAATAAACTAGTTTACAATTATTTACTAAAAAAAAGTACAGCCATAATTTTATGCACCTACATGATTTAAATATTTTTAATACCTTAAGACATATTTAAAATAATTTAATTTATGTATGTGATTATTTTTCTATTTTTCATTAGTTGTTAAACTGTTCTTTGCAGGTTAGTTTGAGTTTTTTAAAAATCCAAAGATTATTTTGATTATTCATTAACCTATATTTATGTTAATTAATAGAGCTTTATTACTTATATAATGAAAAATCAACATTTTTTAAGTGGTAACCACACGTGGACGGGTGGTTAGAAAAGTCTGGTTAACGTGTGCAGTGGCGTAGCCAGGATTTTTAAATGGGAGGGGGGGTGGCTAACCAATTTTTTTGAATAAGTAAGGTAAGAGAGGATATGAGAATTCACCCTTAACCCCCTTACCATCTACCACCAAGTTTCTAAACGTAATTCAAGCATTTTAGTAGTTTTAAAAATATTTATTAATATACATATAATTTATAATAATAATAATAATTTTGGTTTCAGTGTTCAGTCACTTGCTCCACTCTGACAGCTGCATTCTCTTAAGCTAATTTCTGGCAAATTCAGTTATTATTTTACTTTCATCGAATTGCTCTTTTTTATTTATATTAGCCATAGCTAACCCATTCAGTCTATTTTCCGACATGGTGCTTCTTAAAAAAAATGTTAAGCGATTAAGTGCTGAAAACGTTCTTTCCGGAGTGAAAGAGGTAACTGGTAACGTGGCGAATAATTGTGAAAGTATTTTAATGTTAGGTCGAAGATTGGTGGATGAGAGAGTGAATCAAGAGCAGAATTCGGTTTTGGAATAGTATTTTGACTCCATTGTTGCCCCCATATAAACAGGTCAGCTCTGATTGTAGATGAGGTATCATCATGGAGATTTTGGACATATATTTTAGCAGGTTTTATAATATTTTTATCGTCATACATATTTAAATTGGCCGGAATAAGTCCTTCAAGTGGCATAACATCAATAAACCTTTGATTAAAACGAGCATCTATTGATTCTATTAAATAGTCAAGATACATTATACATATAAACACGGCCCATGGGAGGCTATAGCCCCCTTAGCCCCCCCCCCCCTTGGCTACGCCACTGAACGTGTGTACTGCGTACGAAAGTGCGCCCGTGTGACCACGCAAGCAGCTGACGTTCATATTTAAAAACAATACAAATTTAATTTTGGCGTTGATATTTTCGACGTCCGTTGTACTTGCGTTGAAGAGATAATACGTCGATAAAATTTGACATCCTTATTAACGTGCGTTACTCGTGTGTCTGCTTTCATCACCGATAAAGTAGTCCTACGACGTGCATCAAAAAGTACGTGCGTGTCGACGCATTTTGTACGCTCCTGTGGCCCCAGCCTTAATGATGGGCAAATACCCGGTAAATATAATTTCAGTTAAATACCGAGTATTTACCCGATAAATTGAATAAATTTATTTGTAATGCTAAAACCAATTTATAGGTATCACAATACTTTTTTATGATTGTTTCCTGACTTTTTCGTGTTTTTCCAAATCTGATGATTAGAGTACATAAATTATATTTATGAAGTTTTTGTTAATTTTATTCACTTTGAAACCAATAACAATTTTAATGGGAAAACAAATAAATCTAAGAATTTAAAAACTAAACAAAACGCTTCAAATTTTAAAATGAAATTTATTTAATAAAAATAATTATGTTTGACAATAAAAAAAAATATTTATCCAAATTTTTGGTAGGTAAATATTATAGTGGGTAAACACTCAAAATATTTTCCTACCCTTCGGGTATTTACCCACGGCACATCAGTATGCCAACTGTGTGACTTTTGCACCACACTGCCAGCGACTAGTTTGGGCTACACTTCATGAAAAGTGCCGCCACCGCCGTCTCAATTTATCTAGCAACAACTGTAACATTGTTCAGTAGCTGGGTACAAAAAATATAATAAATATTAGTATTAGTTATTTGATGATAGGCATCTCATTATGCAAATTGATCATCAGCAATACATTTTTCAAAGAGTACTCCAAGATGTTTTTAAGGATTTAGAATAGGCAATTCTGCGTACAAATTGACAATCAGCAATAGATTTTAGGTGCCCCTAGTTGTCTTATCAAATATTGCTAGCGGAATGTACATTATCTACGCATCCGTAATGGTTTGAGTAGGTACTCTTAAATTTTAAATCTTCTCTCATATTTAACACAGTACAATTTTTTACTAATGAGATTTTTTAATGTAGTTACTTTTTCCACGAAAATAGCAAAAATTATGCCCAAGAAAAGCGTTAAACCAGTCAAAGAAAAATTAGAAACCATTATTCAGACAGGACCAATAACAATAAACAAATCTGGTGGCATTATCATAAAAATAAATGCTAAGCCTGGAGCTAAAAACAACAATATAACAGGTTTGAATGATACCAATGTTGATAAACTTTTTTCAAATTACAACTAATGTATGTTCATCATTTGGGCTTTAGTATAATTTAAAATATCCTTATTAGCTTCCATCAATATTTTTGTGAATTAATTGATCACAAATTGTATTTTTGTGATGGATATATGGTTTATAAAAAAGGATTAAGTTTTGTTAAAACAAAAAAGTATAAATTGTATGCATTTATACTAATTTTTTAAATAAATTGTAGTATAATACTGTAATAATAAAAATGTTATTGCATGTGATGATGTATGATAAACTAAATACTAAACTTTAGAGTCTTTTAGAAGATAAAAAATATAGTGTACTCTCGTTTATCTGTGGAATATGGTGGCAGCTATGGATAATAAAACATTTCCTAGAATTATCCGCTAAATTCAAATTTATAATATTATTAAATAAATAAAATAGTGTAATTCTGTATAGTATTTAAGGAAAATTTTAAATGAGTACCTTTTATTTTTGTTTAAAATAAATATAATATAATGGTATATTTATATTATTTTTTTTTTTAATAGAAAAATCAGTAACAAGTTTTTACTTTTTTTATTTGAGAACACTTCTATTGAACTTGAAATGTTTTCATTACCTAATATAAACGTTATGATTCTATTGTATTTGAACAAACATTAATTTTTATGTATTTACATATTTACAATATGTACATAGATCATTCCACAGACAAACTGGGGTTAATTATATTGAATACTGTAAATACTTTCAAAATCTTTGAAACTAAAAATATTGTAGGTACTTAACTATGTCAGATATTATTTTATACATTCAAGCAGTATTTTAAAAGTATTGTAATTTGTATCTTTATTAAGCAAATATATTTAAAAATTATAATTCAATCATATTGAACAATTTTGTATCATATTTATGGTTGAAAGTACCTACTTAAAATTAAGTAGATATTGATTTAAAATTTAATCGATCCAAGCTACCTTCTATTGATTTTGTATTTATTGTTTTTATATTGTTTTTATGTTTAATTTATAATTAATGTTGTTTTTTTAAGATCTAAGTTCTGATGGTGTTGGTGTTCAAATAAACGCACCCCCAACTGATGGTGAAGCTAATGCAGAATTAATAAAATATCTTTCAAAAGTACTAGGTTTAAGAAAAAGTGATTTAACTTTAGATAGAGTAAGTTTGATTTTAACCTTCTATCATAAATATATTTTTATATTGAATAAAAAATATTACTCATTAGGTACTAATGAGTTATTAATTAACTCCATGATAGATAAATTACTATGGTTTACTTGGATATATTATGTTTAATCATTAATGTAAAAAATTTAACCATCTGATTTTTATTCATCTAATGTAACTAATGTTTTGAGCTATTATTTTCAAAATTCTTAATTTTTTTTTTTTTTTTTTTATTAAGAAAGACAATTTACAATCTATATACAATAATAACAATAAGCAAATTTGATATATTTACATAGAATAAAGTAGCAAGAATATCGTGTTGAGGAAGAAACCCAATGGTAACACCTCCAATACTAATTTAATAGGTCTCTACACCATTTACGCTTTAGTCTGCGTGGTGGGTTTTTTTGGGAGAGTGATGGTGGACATGTCTGATATTAGAGTATTGCTATGTGTGTTTAGATTTTGGTGGAAACGTTTGTACATGTTTTTTGCTAGTTCAGTGGTAGTTGTTATTTTTAAATAAATCATTATGTAAGGATAAGTTTGAAACGTACCATGGGGCTTTGGTTATTAGCCGAAGTGCAATTGATTGAAAAGCCTGAATTGGTCTAATGTTTGAGGGCATGGCAGGACCCCAGATTGCTATTCCATAAGACCAGACTGGTCTTATAATTGACTTATATATAATAAGTTTGTTTTGGAGTGGTATTTTGGAGTTGAGGAGTGGTCGGAGGAGATGAAGTCTATTGTTCGCTGCTTTTCTTTTTTCTTTTAGGTGGGGACCCCAAGTCAGTCGTTTATCAAGTGTTATGCCTAAGTACTTTATTTCATTTCGGACAGGGATGAGAACGTTATTCATGAATAATTGAGGGCACTCACGGGGAGATTTTTTTAACGTGAAAGTAACTTGCACAGATTTATCTGTATTTATTTTAATTTTCCATTTTTTGGCCCATTCGTCGATTTTATTTGCATGATCCTGAAGTGCAGTTGAAACTAGGTTAGGATTTGAACTGGAGGAAAGAATAGTGGTGTCATCAGCGTATGTTGCAAGAAGGGTGTTATTAGATTGGGGGATGTCAGCTGTAAATATATTATATAGATCAGGGGATAAATCACTACCCTGAGGGACTCCAGCGTATATTGAGTGAGTAGATGAGATATCGTTACCCTGTCGTACGACAAATGAACAATTTTGTAGATAAGATTTAATAATAAGATAGTAGGGAGCTGGCATGAAAAGTTTTAATTTGTATAATAGGTCGTCGTGCCAGACTTTATCGAATGCTTGGGCAATATTTAAAAAAAGTCCGGAGCAGTATTCTTTGTGTTCGAGAGCAGTTGAAATTTCGTCAGTATAAAATTCTTAATTAAAAACTTGATTTGTTAATTAGTGCTTAGTATTTTAACAAGTTTAAGATTGTATTAAATTTGAATTTGAATTATTTTATGTATGCTTTAATGTAGTTATATAATTTTAAATTAATTTTAGGGTTCGAGATCAAGAAGTAAAATTGTAATAATTCATGAAACATCATTAGGAATAGAAGATGTTACTGAAAAAATCAATGAAGTAATTAAATTTAATCATTAGTTGAAAAATCACTTATTATTATTTAAAAATTAATATCTCATGTGAAAATATATTTATACATGTAAATTCATTGTTTAACAAATTATAAGCTAAATATAAACTTTTTTTTAAAATAAAATAATTATTCATGAAAAAAGGTATACTGATTGTTAAAATGTTCATAAAATTAGTCTTTGTTAAATAATGTTTATATTTTTTTAATACCTTGATGTAGATATTTTGTGATTAAACTAATATTTATATCTTAAATTTGTAATGTAATTATATTTATCATCAGTGGCGCCCAAACATATTTTTCAGGTGTAGCAAGATATTATACTCATCCATGCCTTGAAAAAAATTTAAAAAAAAAAATTTAGCAGCTGCTACTCCTAACAATAGAATGGGCGCCACTGTCTATCATATTAAGATAATCATAACTTGCATGATTATTATTAGAGTGCGGATTTGTTTTGTGCATATATACATAATATATCATGATTGATGGTAGTCAAATAATTCTTCTTTAAAAATATGTTTCAGGATTATCTGAATGTTTTAAGCTATGGTTGATACTATATATGATTACATATTTCATATGATTTACATATTTTCCATATTATACTTTTATTTTATTTTATTTTATTCCCCTATTTTGAATAAATCGCCGTTAAATCCGGTTACAATTATACTAGAAATGACTGACTGCGCTAGTCGTACATCACGAAGCTCACTTTAGTTCTCCTAAATAAGGAGCTTACAAATTTGCTCCTTTAACTTCTGTTTACGTGGAAAGGCCTTTAGTCGCTACAACAACGTATTACAACTCAATTGTCGTTGATTTACTTTTGAAAACTTGTTTGTCCAGGGTTCTACTGACGACGAGGATCCTGTACTTCAATGAATTTACTAAAGTTCATAATATTATAAATAATAATCGAACGTATAGTTTAAATATATTATTATACACCTAACTTACAATTTTTATTGAAAATTAAATTATTTTCATTTTACGTATTTATACTTGCAGTGGCGGACACAGGGAAGGGTTTTGAGGGTTCAAACCCCTCCCTGAATGAATGGATGATTAATTTAAAACGTAGTTAAATATTATTACCTACCTTATGTACCTTAAAAAAAATGAATTGTTCAAAAAACGATTAAAATATGCTAGAAAAAAAATGTTTTGTTAAGAAAAGTGAATTAGTAATAATTTGTAATTTTTCAAATGTTCTAAAAGGTATAGGTACTTAAAACTCAAATTTTTGGAATTCCATGATGGCAATACTTCGTACAAATAATGCGTGTTTGTAAGTTGCTTATTATCAGTAAGTAAAAATAAATAAATATACGCAATCGATATAATATTATTTAGAATGGTACATTATGATTGACGGGTTTCCCTAAATTTTGTGTTGTATGGTCATGTAATAACAATCGACAATAGTCAATCTATAGTCAATAGTCAATTATTTAAAAATAACGGTAATCAGACCCGTATTTAGAGGGGGCACGGATAGGCACATGTCCGGGGGCGTCAAGTCTCAGGGGTGGCAAAATATTTTAGCAAAATTAATTTTAAAAATGATGTACCTAATGAAAAAAAAATTAAATAATAAGAAAATATGTTTTATTATGTTATAATTTGTTTAATTTGTTGATTAAATAAAATATTTAAGGATTTTCATTTATAAGTAATATTTGAATATTAAAGTATCACAATTATGGATGAAATAATGTGTTATATTATTATTATTTATTTATTTTTTTTTTTGGGTGGGGGACTTATAAAATAATATGCCAGGGGTGCGAAATTTTTAAATACGGGCCTAACGGTAATTATTCTTATTTTTTCAAATCCCTCTCCCCTCCGAAATTTTTTTCTGCGTCCGCTTCTGTATACTTGTATTTTTAATTACATATTTGGACAAAAATAAATACATAAATATGTACATATTTTTTAGTTTTAAATATATATAAATCCGCAACCTAGTTATTACATTTTGTTTTAGAAATTTATATGAGATATAAGATCTTATTTATGGGAGGCTACATTTTTTTTTTATCACTAACCCATAGGCAAGGCCGGATTAAGGGGGGCTAGTGATGTCCAATTAGAAATGTTCCCGGTAAAAGTTCTTGGGAAAAGTTATTTTCCCGGGAGTTTTCTTTCAGACTACTTTTCCAACTTTACCCAATGTTATAATTATTAGTTTTAAGGTGAGTTTACACAGCGACAGTACTGTCACGATAGAACTGTCATATGAATATATGACAGTTCCTACATGCAAGCAACATCAGCTACTGTCTTACGAGTATACTAATATTTTATATAGTAGGTACTTAATTCTGTACGATATAGTACTTTTTTTTGTGTAAACATATATGACAATTTCAATTTTCCAAATCTTAAAATCATGTCTGAAGAAGTAATTCATTCTATGATTAGTTATTGGTGAAATAATAGTTTTAAAACAAAAAAAAGTGTACAGTGAAAAATAGGAGAGAATGGGTCAGAAAATGAATTCAAAAAAGAGATCAATTTGGTGTATCAAGACCTGTAGTAATTGATTTTATAATTTTACTATTTTCCTGATAGTATGTTCCATGAATACTTCTTATTTTAACTCTTAGTTCTTTTTTTTAGTGGAAAATAATAATTATTGAGAAAATACAAACTTATCGCGTATAACGTCAACAACCAGCGTATGTGGTATGTAAGTAGGTATATGTGTACATAATATAAAATAACATAATGCGCTTGTTATAACTTGTGGGTTGTTTATCGAATGTCTCTACTATTTTAAAACATCATAAGTACCTAGTCAATATGAAAGATAATTTTTTTAAAACAAACTTTTCCTACACATTTCTGACATGGGGAATATTCCCGGGAACTTTTCCCAGACATGTTCATGATTTTATTTTGTGTAAAAGTGCCCATTCCTACCCGGGGCCCTCTCGAGTATCCAAGTGAAAGGGGCCCAAAAAATTTTAAGCCGATACACATTTTTTATCATACTAAAATTAGTAGTTTTATAGACCTAAATTGTATATACCTATTAATTATATAATTTTTTAATGCAATTGACAATTTGTGAAATAGTTAAAAAAATGTATCGTTTTGCGAGCAGCTTAGTAAAGCATGTTTTGTCAAAAGGGCCCATATAAAATTTCAGCCCCGGGTCCAATAGATGCTTAATCCGGCCTTGCCCATAAGCACTTAACCCTTATACACTACAATAATAAATACTTTTGTATTATCTGAGCGCACAACAGTGCGCCGGCCAAGTTCCAGTAATGCCAGAGTATCTTTACATGAACCAATTCGTCCAGTTTTTCTAGTCCATATATCTCTGTTTCCTTTTAGGATATACTTTTGAAATTTAAAACACAGATTAATTTCTAGTAGCTTAGGACTCTGTAAGAAAATGAGCCTTTAATATTGTACCATTTTGAAATGGGAGGATTTCAAAATTTATAATTTTGTTACTGACTCACTCACTCACGATCATCAAAATTATAAGACATTTCCCGTATAGGTAGAAACGTGAAATTTGACACAAAGGTAGGTTTTACAGTGTAACTAAAGAGAAAATCTAAAAGTTGAATTTTTTTCAAAATTAATGCCGCTTTAGAGAGTGTATTTCTATACGTATGAAGTGGCGTGCATATCACGCAAAAACGTTTTCTTTCAAATAGCGTTACAATATGGTAATAAGAAATTGTTTGTAGTTTACTTAAATATATATATTTATAAAACATAATAACTTTTTCGTAAATTTATTTTATTTTAATACAAAATATAATATAATTATTCAAATGCAGAATATTTTAATAATATTCGTCGGTATATTGATGATAATTTTACGTGGTAACGTCATAAAAAAACATTGATGAAAGGTTGAATACTCTTATGAATTGAATGAATTTATTAGTTACCGAAATAGCTACGACCGTATCGTGATGAGCCTCCAGGGAATTCACTTAATTAATTTTGATCCCTGTCAGGTGAAAACCAAGGATAGTGCTATTGTTGAATATAACCATCTAAGAATTTTATATAGGCCAGGTTTAATAGACATTCTATCTAAAAAGTATCGACAACAAAAAATAAAAGACTGTACTTGGCTACCATTGCCTGGTATTGACAACGCCCAAGAGTCCAATTTCTCAGCTCCTCAACAGAAACCCAAACGGTCATCCAAGAGAAAATCTACGATATATAAAAAAAAAAATTAAAAAAAAAAATAATAATTACACGTCGTCCATGAAGCTGAAGCCCGCAAAAATAAATGATATCTCTAAAAAAAACCTAACGGTGAAAAAAGGCCAAGTTTGGTATTTTTTAATTCATAACCTCACTGCACTCCTACGTTAAAGAACAACAGTCCTCTTTTATTTGTATTGTTTAATACTTGGCCAATTTCTGAATGAGGCATAAAACATCATTATCGAATGTACTCATTTATGATTTACGTGGGTGGTGGGGAGAAGAGAACTCAGAAAAAAGAAAAAGGTTTAGATTTATTCTCGAAAAAGACAGCAAATCATAGTAGGTAGTGGTATCTATATTGCGGCCAAGTCTAGTTTATGCCTCATTCAGAAACTGTCTAAGTGTTAAACAATACAAATAAAAGAGGAGTGTTGCTCTTTAATGTAGGAGTGCAAGAGGGTATGAATTAAAAAATACCAGACTTGGCCACAATGTAGATTTCACTACTTTGATAGGCCGACTTTTTTGGGAGGGAATTTGGAACTTGGCCTTTTTCACCGTTAAGTTTTTTTTGGGGATTATATATTACAAATATTTTTTAATATTTTAACAGAATAACAAGTGTTATTATACTCTCTAGTAATATATTTTTATGAAAAATATTAATCTAAAATAATTCAAATTGCAAAAAAATATTATTGATTCTGTTATTTGACAAACTCTTAAATTTTAGAAGGACATAAATAAGTTAAATAAGAAGGAGGGAACTAAGTCCCCTGGGCATCGGCACAAATAAATCAACGTTTTTGGGGAGTGTACAAATCGTGAATAGTTCACAAACCCCCAGGTGTTTCCCTCTCAGACCTGTATATTCTATAATATTACTTCAGTGGGTGCACTAGTCTCGTGTGTATGCAATAGTTTTTTTTGACAACTATGATTAGGTTATAAAACCATAGGATAACTACCACATTAGGATATATTTTTTTTATAAACCACGATATAAATTTATATTACAACTTCACGTATGAAATTATCATCGGATAGTTGATTTTATTATTTGAAATAAAAATAATTAATAAATAACATAATAAAGTGATCTTAAGAAAAAAAAAGGTAATGCGAAGATATTATGCAGGTTGGTATACCAGGTAACTTTGGTTATCTACATGGTATGTATATATATATATATATTACACATACGTGAATTTACAGGTAAATAATTATAACAATATCAAATAGGAATACTAAAATTATAAGTAGTTAACTGATTTTTGTATGGATAAAAGATTATCGAGGTCGAGAACTTCTTAGTTTGATCTTTGTTTTCGGTTTTTTTTTTCTAAACAATTCGCCGCGGTACCGGTTTTCCAACCAACCGAGACATTATTTTGAATCACACTTGAAGTTTTTCCGTTTCTTATCGGCTCGTTCCAGTCCGTCGAATCTGAGATTCGTGTCCGTAAAGTTCCTCGTCATCAATAATCTTGCGCTGTTTGTGATATTTCGCTTCGATTTGGTATGTATTGATACATCATAATGAAACTGTGTAGCATGCGAGTGTACGGTGTCAGTGGCGTCCCCAAGATTTGTCAACAGGGGAGGGATATTATATATTATAATACGTCTTCTTAATCGGTTCTGATTACGAAGCCAAAAACGTAATCGGGGAAGGCTTTAGGACTTTCAGGCCTTCCAAACGGTTTGTAACTTGCTCATGAATGTAACAATGTTTGTGCATATTATTCGGAAAAAAGACGACAAGGAGGGTTAAGGTAGGAGGATCGAGGATACACTCTTTAACCTCCTCGCGGGAACGCCGCCGGTGCAGGTATAGTTGTTGAATTGTTAGAAAATTATCGGTTAGAACTTAAACGGTAGACACAGTTGGTTGAATCCACGGATAATAATGGTGTCGCAGACCCTCCCCGTGTCCAGAAGGCAATTTTAGTTGCTGGTCGTAGTGCGGCGTCGATTGGATTCTCTGCTGCTGCTGCAGTGGATACGGCGGCGCCGGTATCTGTTTGGGCAACTCGCTAGACGTTACCGACAGCTCGGCTAGACTCCATCGGTGTGCGGTCGCCGCTGTCGGTTTCCCGGACAGACATTGGCATAGGGCCAGCAACGCCAACCAGAAGCACACGGACGTGCGGAGCCCGTGGTCGGAAGAAACGAACGACGTGCAGGCAGTCATTATTTTGTTGGCATTCTAAAAGAAAATTAAAACCATTACAATTGATATTATTATTATTATTCGGACGAGAATATTTATTACACGCGGTAGTAACGCTGACCACGTGGCTGATTAAATTAAACTGTTCACTTATATTACATGATATACCAATTATCTCGGAAAATTGTACAGACTAATAATTAATTATGAAGGGCTGAAATAGGTGCCCCTTGAATTTTCTGTGGTAGTGGGTAAGATGTTTAAAAAATAATAATACAAATTGCACTACACGATAAAAAAAAAATCGGCATCATAGTTAGTTACAGGATATAGCAGGATATATAGGTTATACGACGTTTCACTTGGGCTCGAGTAATAATGATAACCACGTAGGGTGTCTGATATCTCGATTATTTCATTTTAATTTTGTAAAATAATCAATAAATATTCATTTAATTTTGTTTCGATACAGTTTAATAGAAGGGGCCACTTTAAACACATAGACAAATTTGTATTTTCATGTTTTCACCAACTGAGAAAAATAATTTTAAAATTTTTTCATTTTTATACAATCATAAAATATAAAAGTTTTATTACAAATTATTATGAAAATGTTAACGTTCGCAATTGAAAATCGAAAATTTGGTTTTATAATCATTAAAGTAAGTTTATAAAAGATAAAAAAATAAAAGGTAAGCTTACTCAATAATCAGTATTTATGTTGACTGAAAATATAACATATGCATTTTAAATGTTTCTAAAATTGCAAAATACCTATTGTATGAAACAAGTTATGACAGTTTTAAATTATCAAAATTGAAAATCCAATAAATGGTTTAATATAAATATGAGTATAACTAACGTAAGTTGAAAAAATGAAAGCGTACACGATTAGGTGAAATTATGGCTGTTTTTTATTTAAATACAATTTTCAAAATGTCAATAATAGAAACTACTATAGGTTTATTAGTAATCATTCATTTTAATTATTTATAAAGATACTGTCAAAGACTCATAAATGGAAAAGGTAAACATACTATCGATATAACCAAAAATATACAAAAATGATCTAATTTATATCAACTTATAATACAATTTTATTTTAGGAGGTGAACCGGAGGGGATATACTCCCTGAAAAAAATGTATTGAAAAAAATGTATTTATTTATTAATTATTTACTTTTATAGCATATCACATATCTCCCCGAAAAATGTGCAATACCCTGTGATAGATCTGAAATAAATACTTCTCATTATAATAGCAATTATACCTAAATATGATGAAAAAAATTAAAATCTAATTTAAAAAATGTATATTTCAACTAAATTTAGAAAAAAAATTGTATTCATAATTTAAATTATAAACTCGATTGAATAATAAATCATAAATAAATTTTTAGAATAAAAATTTTAATTATATTACTGTGGTATAACATCCTGAAAATAGACAAAGGATTGTTTAAAATCCAATTTCAAGTAAGCATTATTTTTAGTTTGAGTACGCTTGTATAAAAATTGTGTTGTATAAAAAGTTTCGCAAGATATACATAATTGGTAATATAATATTAATAAAATATCTGATATGAGCGAAGCAGACTAAGACTGAGTGGATAAAATCAAATCTTAGTAAGTGGCATATACTTTTTTTTCATTATTAATTGTACCTACTAGAGTATAAAATTGATGACCATGTGACATCTTATGAATATAAATAATTTTGCTATTTTGAAAAGCAATCAAAAAAAGCGGACAAGCAATTATAAACGGATTTTAAACTGATTTCTGTGTAGTGAAATGTTTCATGCTTTGTTTTTTTGCTTTTAATATCTATTAACCAATGTTTTATTTTATAATGTTTTTTAGTATTTACTATTTAGGTTCTTTGAATATGTTTCACTTAATCATAATTTATGTCTTACTCTAAGTATAATATTGTAGTTCGTAGGTTACTTATAATACATTACTTATTACTACACATAAACGCATAATATCACATTTATACGAGGTAGGTAAATTTAAAATTTTCCTCATGTACCTATGATAAAATTTATAATTATTTGTTTTTTGTACAGGTTTTCTGCGAATTTTAAGCTTTATATTAATTTTGAGAAATGATAAATAATAATAATTTTCATAAAATATAAAATATAGTAAATAATAAACAAGAAATAAATATTAATTTCATTCTACGAGTAATATTTATTTTTATACAATCATTACAACCACAGGGTATAAATTAATTTTCTCTTTATCTGTACCTTGATAGCAAGTCATTTATGACTTTTTAACCATTTTTCTTTTGAGGAAAGGATTGTGGCAGCGTGGCCACACTGGTCAAAAAAACATGTAACCAATATTCTGTCTCTCATACATATGTTTTTTCTACGCTCTAGTCAACGATTTCTCGTTAATATGTCAGCGTGTCGTTTATGTTTAAATTTTTTTCGTACCTTTGTTCGCGTTTTTACTTTTGTTATTTATTATTTGTAATGTTTATTGTTTCGTATTTATTAACTAATAAATATTATACAACTTATAAGAGTTTATATTGTTTATAATTACAATTAAAGCTTTTATAGGATCAAGACCGAAAATATTCTACAGGATGTTGATAATTATAGAACAATCAAACAATTTAAACGTTATTGTTATTTATATAATTTTTTTATAATGGGTACAACGGTATATTAGGTTTTTAAAAGGCATTTTAAAATCTGTCCCCTAGATGGAAAATTCGTTAACCCGGCATTAAATATAGCTATTACTTCATCTAGATAAAACAACATAAAAAAAACAAATAAGAAAACGAATTCCGTTATAGCCAATATAAAATGAGAACTCTTGAATTGGGTCCCGAGATATTTGATTGCTTAAAAAAAACACGAGTTGTATCTACGGTTGATTTTATCTTGTTGTTATCTTAATACCTAACTCAAGTTTTCCCAGTGAAAGATATGTATTTTAAATTTCTTCCGTAATTTAAACTATATAATTATAAATAAAAACTATTAGTGATAAAAATAAAAATAAATTAAAATGTAATCTAAAATCAAGCCAATTCAATAATAATTTTTCACACAAAAAAAAAAAATTCTTATTGATTAATAATTTTAAAATTTTAATAATATGTACATCAGACCGTTACCTTTGCATAAAACAAAACAAAATATTTTGGAAGACTTTCTAGCCAACCTACACATGGTGTCTTCTGCGTAATGCTAATAGGCTGGACCCAACTCATGTAATAGATAAAATATATGGGGACCCAACTTACGTTTTCAATAAAATATTTCCGGACCCAATTCATACTATTTTTGAAATTTAGGACCCAAATCGAGGTTATCCAATAAAATGAAGTATTTTTAATTATTTAATTATATAGATAGTAATTATTTTCAAGAATTTTTTAATAACTCTTGATTTATTTTCAATGAATAATTATTACTATACTAAGGTTTCAAATCATCTAAAAAAGTTTTGACTTGATAATCGTTTAAGCTTCAAACTAACTTAGAAGTATTTAAAATGGGACACTCCGGGCTTGTACGACTTGTACTCGTATGTACCGATAAACCCAATATCTAGTGTAAATTAAACCGAAAATTATTTGATAATTTCTCATTAGAACTGAAGAATCTGATAAAAAAAAATTTGTGGGAGCTATTGTACACGCATTTCTATCAACAATTCCAATCAGGAGCTAATACAGTTGGTATAATTATAGCTGTAGAATGTTATTATAAGAATAACAAGAATAACATATTTTAGAATATTTTTCAGTGTAGTTCTAGTACCTAGCACAACTAAGTGTGGTCGAATATGCCGATATATGTAGTTAACTTAAACTACCCCATTTTCCCCACCAAACACCTTCAAAAATTAAATTTTTTCAAATATATATCCTCTTCTCCTTAAAACAAATTCTGGCTGCGCCACTATTTGATATAAATTGTAATTAAGTGAAATGATAAGATATCTTATTATGAATAAAAATATCAATAAAACTTATTATTGATAATAATTACTGTATTGTTACTTAAATTATATTTTTGTTGATATTAAAAGAAAGTTTTAGGATTCCAAATTTATGAGGTAGCAATTTGATTTGTCACAATAAACACAAGAAATAGTGCCCTTCTATAGGTTGGTACATTATAATAATGTCGAAGACCGAAGTGAAAAAGAATAAAAAAAGACTGTTACTTTCGTTTTAATTTGGCCCTCACACGTACAATTGGTGAAAACGAATCGATAATTTGGTATAAATTGAATGAAAGACGTCCGCGAATTTCCCTTTCATGAGTAGAATGTTAAACATTGACAATATAAAATAAGAATGTTGACAAATTTCACGTTCACACGGACACACACGCGTAACCGTGTTATATATATATGTATATGAACCTACATATTATTTTTATAAGTAGTATTGTCCTGTCTAATGTCTTCCATATGCAGAAGTATAATTTTGATTTCAATCGGTTAAAATTCTGCACCTGAGCAGAATTTAAATAGCAAAAGTATATTTCTGTTTGGAGAAATTAATATCAAAAATAGTTTCACAAAAATCAACAGTGGCTAGATGAATCACAAGAACAGTCAATTATTTAAACGCATTTAAAATTTCACAATCGATTTTCTGCGATATACTAAAGTATATGGTAATGTACCATGTCGAATGTCAGACAGCAATTTAGTTGAAAATAATCCTGGTGAACGGGTTAGGTAACTTGTCCAACGATCCAGAACTAAGTTTGAGTATAAATTAATATTCTTCCGCTCGGAAAACTGAGAAGTTACAGGAAACCACGGTTTAACAGATGTCATATAACATTTTAAAGATATCAATCATTTAAATAACCGTTTATAATGGGTTATGTTATTATTTCTACCTAAAAAGTCAAAGTTATAAAAATATTATACTTACGTCTGATATATGCACAAAATACAGGTACGTCATTATATATTATTATTGTTTTATGAGCGAACTTTGTTTATGTTGGAGACATAATGCAATTAAATTGTACAAAATATAT